CTTGTGTGCATGTGTGTAAAACAACAAACTGACTATTTATATATAATCATTTGTAATTGTATATATATTGTTGTGATTAATTGTGGCTGGAACAATAATGTAGCTGTAAAAATAGTTGCCTGCTGAAACTGAAATGTATATACTTCTTCATCATGACTAGATAGACACGGTGAGTTTGTCTTTACTATACAGGTTAGATGTGATCCACCTCATAGTAACAATCCTGTCAGATCGTCCATCCTTTGAGTGAGAGTGTAACGTTACAGGTCGGCCGATCTGGTTTCATGGTTAAAGTTAACTTTTACGGCATGTTTCCGTGTTGTTGCTGCTCAGCAATGGCATGGACGCGATGTTGTCTGGGGGTTTGGCAAAAGGAGAGTGGGATGGTGGGCGGTGCTAGGGGTGGTGACTGAAGGAGGTGACTGTGTAGTTCTGACGTCAACTTTTTATGGAAGTCACAACGGTTCGTGAAAAATCACAGATACTTTATGCAGGATGTGTGCATTTTACTGTGGACTGACTGTTTTGAAACTTTTATGGTAGTTAAATAGCCCCTAGACCTCAGTTATCGTGAAAAAAACCAGGAAATTTCAGTTTTGACAATATGGGACCTTTAATGCAAGCCGACTAGAGAAATTGAATAACCTAATGTAAAATAAAACAGCATAGTCTTCACTGTAAGAATTAAACTACCTTTGTATCTCTATTAAAGCTACAAAAGTCTTTCAGTCAAGAGCAGTGTTGCCAACTTTGCAACTTTGTCGCTAGATTTAGCGACTTCTCATACCCCCCTAGCGACTTTCCAAAAAAGCCACTAGCGACAAATCTAGCGACTTCTTGGACAAACCTTAGCAAGTCTCTTTGACTCACTGGTACTGCCACACGAGTGTGAGATCTTGCTTTCACAGCGCGCGTGCACACCTCTCTCTCTCTCTCTCTCTCTCTCTCTCTTTCTCTCTCTCACTGTTTCATATTTATTCCATTGACTGACAACAGAAACAGTAAATTATATAAATGAAAACTGTTTTATTGAGAATTTGGCTAAATTAAAATACAGTATGCAAGCACAGAGAGGCAAACAAATGTAAAAGGCAATATGACGCGATGACATCATGAATATGCTAATTAGTGTATGACGTCATCTAGCGACTTTTCAAACTGGCTTTAGCTACTTTCCATTGAAAGAAGTTGGCAACAGTGGCAGTGAGTGATTTTGAATTTGTCTTTTGTTGTTTGATTAATATTAAGCACACACTCGGCAGCAGGAATATAGCCCGCTTTCACTTTAAGAGCCGCACGGATCCAATTTACTGTTACACAAGTATTTTCATTCTCAACTCTTTACGTTCATTTATTACATAACCGACGAGGGTTAACGTGAATAATCACCAAGCGCTGCATTTTGACACATTTTTGCGTGTATTTGACCATTTAGGCGCTAAAAGATGACTTTACATGTCCGTGTTGTGTTCTGTCTCTGAGCGCATACACCGTAATCTTCCCAAGGAAGCGCAAGTTCTCTTTCACACCTTTAAAAACATAAATAAATCGAATCAACTTAAATATATCAAACGCGTCCCATTTTGCAAAAGTCTTGTTACATGATTTTACTGATTTGCACGTGAAATTGGGCTTTTATGGAGAAACGAAAGAGCACCGCTGGAAAGGGGGCGAAATGGGGCGCAATAATCGTTTTATCTCGATTACAGTATTTTCATAATCGTTGGAGGCCGAAATCGAAACCGAATTTCGATTAATTGCACAGTCCTATACACTTGGAATGTAGTGCACATGTTGTATGAACTACTAAAAAACACTGAATTGAAACTAAATAAATATGAGGTAATGATCACATAACAGATATAGAATTTGTACCTTTTGGGTGAGTTATTGCTGTAAATTATATCTACCCTTTATGTAGTGTTTACATGTTGTGTGGTGTCTTTATCATTCAGAAAAAGGAAAGACTGAATCAGCAATCCTGCAATATAAATTCGGAAATTGAAACTGCTTCAAGGAGTGGCATAAGACAGTGTACACCTACAGGAGCAGCCAGCCCACCGCGCGTCCTGCTTATGTCAGCTCTAATTTTAGCTCCTCTCAGATACCTCAGGGATTTAATTCACAGGGCTATTTTCATTCCTTGAAGGCTCCTGTGTCCTTCTACACTTCCAAGACTCCATAGTGAAGTTATCAGCTAATATTATTCATACCTTCTTCTGGCCAAATTTCTTCACAGAGAAGGCACTTCCAGAATGCGCTGATAAACTCAAAGATGCTGGATAAAGCGAGAAAAAAATGTTGATTAAAAATATCCAGTGCTAAAAATATTGATACAAAGAGTTAAGCCGAATTTAAAATCGAATGAAATTAAGTTTTAAATATAGCCACTATTTGAATGTTAATATTTCAACAATGAATTCATATATTATTAATAATTGCTGATATAGAAACTAACTAGGGATGTAACGATTAACCGCGAGCCGGTTGAAAATCGATTCAAATATGTGACGATTCAAATCGGTTGAGATGCTAAACAAATCGCGATTCATTTAGGGGTAGTTTATGAATCCATGTCTGAGGGGAACTTGCTGTCTTTAGAAAAGTTTAGATGCGGGGCTCTACAGTGCGACCATTTCAGTTGCATTTGGTTTTATCCAAAGTGACTTACAAATGAGGACAATAGAAGCAATCAAAACCAACAAAAGAGCAATAATAAATTATGTGCTATATTAGTATATTATTATAGTGTTATATTTCAGTTTCACAAAGAAATGTGCAGCATTTTGTCCAAGCAATAATAAAAGGACACATTTAATTTATAATTTGTCTTAAATCTAATTTTGTAAAAAAAAAATAACAATAAAAAATCGTGAATCGAATCGAATCGAATCGTGAAATCAAAATCGTGAATCGAATCGAATCGTGAGTTGAGTGAATCGTTACATCCCTAAAACGAACTAATGTGCAATTTTTTTAAATATAAAACTGTTTTTTGAGTGTTGATTATGAAATAAATTTGATTTATTTCATTGATTATTGAATGCATTTTATTTTAACTATTTTTCTGCTAAATAAAAACTTTAATTTTGGTTTTTGCGTTTAATAAAACCTTTCGGTGCATCACTATCAAATAGTGCACTATGTAAGGGTATAGGGAGCGATTTCAGGCACTGACACAGTTTTAGGCCCTTCGCTTGCCAAAATCTGAAAGATATAGTTGAGGACTGTTATCCAAGGTTGCACCTGTATTATTGGCCGCTAAAGGCCAATCAGGAATGAGGATAATGAAGTTAAACATGTCTGTTCAGTGTCTTTTCAGTGTTATGTAACATACTCTTACAGACTACTGTTGTGCTTAGGGGAATTCCAGATGATTTAAGTGTGTGATTGTGTTAGATGCAGTAATGCATTTTAAGTATGTACTGTACAACAAGCTTGCAAAATAGCATTAAAGTTTGCATTTACATACTTGCATAAAGTATATTTCTAGTCAAATTGAGTAGAAATATACTTTATGCAAGTATGTAAAAGTAACATGTTTTATCACTTTTGAGCGTGCTGTTTCATCACAAAAACCTACATCTTATTCACTAATCACCTACAGTCTCTGCACTGGTATTGTGCCATATATTTAAATTATGTCATTAGCCTTCTTTTTAGTGTGAATGCTTGTTTCTATATGAATTAGGTTTATTTTAGATATATTATTCGCAGAAGTCAGTGTTATTTGCCTGGCAAGTTTACTTTTGACCATCAAATGTAATCTAATAAAAAAAAATACACTGACAGAGGGTACAATCCATTCTTAAGGAATTCACCTCTTATATTTTCCTCCTAAAGTTTTCATATATTTTGATGGTTTAGTTTGTTGGGGCAAAGAGGCAGAGTGCATTTAATATTGAGTTAGTTTTTTTTTTTTTTTTAATGGAAAATGTCTTTATGGGTTCTGAGGCTGGATTCATGAAAATCATCTTAAAAAACAAAAAAAATGTCTTACGGTAAAATGTAAGAAAGGTAAGTGCAGTTCTTGGAAAAAATCTTAAGTAGTTCTATTTATATATAAATATATACTTATACTTACACTATATAAACATACTTATATTTATATATGTTTACAATATAACAAAAATCAAAACAATAAAAAAAATTCTACATAAAATAGCATCAGAGTATACAAATATGAAAATCAAATACAATTTGTGTTAACAAATTAAAACTGAAATCAAATGATAGCACATGAATGGTCAGTGTGATAACACAAGTTCTCTAAGAAGATGTGGGTTCTGTTTTTTATGATATTTTTTAATCATTCAAATTAGGGTGTTCCTTTTTCCAGTTTAATAGAACACATTTATTTGATATGTAATAGATCAGACCTACCCTTTTGATAAATAAAGGGTCTGATATGTCATTTAAGTTCACCCCAATATATTAAAGGAGTCTTGTGATACTTCTTCCCCAGGACCATCACAGAGAACTCATGTACAGTAAAACTCATCTAGTTTTTCGCAGTTCCAAAAAATGTGCATAATGGTGCCCCTATTTGTCTTACATCTGTTGCACAAAGGAGATACACCAGAATGTATCTTACTAAGGCGAACTGGGGTCACATATATTCTTTGTATAAATTTGTAATTTTGTTCAATTATTTAGTTACTAGAGAATGAGAAAAAGACACACTTGTATGCAACATCCCACTGATCATCATCAAAGTTACAACCGAGATCTTTTTGCCATATGCTTTTTAATGAAGTTAAAAAACACCTTACACAATATGCAGAATTCATGGTTATATACTCTCAAACACGTTAAGCGAGTAAATGCGGCTTCATGAGCAGTAATTGGTATGTTTTGTTTCATAGTCATAGAAATGTTTTGTGTAGGATCCTTGTATGTTTCTTGTGGCCAAAAAAAGTAAATCTGCAGATGGAACCAACTGTCGATTTTAAATAATCTTATATGGTATTTTTGTTTTTCTTGCATCCTTTGTTTTTCAGGCGGATGAGGAGAGGAATTATCATATCTTCTATCAGCTCTGTGCATCTGCTCACCTCCCGGAGTTCAAAGCCCTGAAACTCGGTGAGCCAAACACACAATGCTGTTTTAACAAACATTCAGCTTGTTCTGTTTCTGTGTAGCATAGACAAGAAAATACTGCTGAAGCTATTAGGGATTGTTCAGATCGTTTGCTCTGGCCGCACCGATCACAGAAGAGCTGTCAAGGCTGTTCCTGTACATTTCAGATCTGTTCGTTCATATTCTGATTCTTCAGATTCGTCATGTAAGAGTGTCTATATATATATATATAGTTTTTTTAATAAGTCTGCAGGACTGTGGCTCTCCAGGACCAACGTTCGCCACCCCTGGTCTATAGTAATAATAATTAGTTTTATTTAAACAAAAATATTTGAGAATAAAGTCTATGGCATGTCCCCATTTAAATACAATAGATAACTAAACCTTAGGGCCCTATGATTTCTGCGATGCGGAGAAAGCTGGATAGCAGAATCCAGTCATAAAAATAGAATTAACAGTAAATTGCAGAATGTCACAGAATTTGGCAAATATTGAATGAATAAATCAAAAGTAAGGTTGTACAATTTAAATAATTCAATAGCATTTAAATATCTTGTTATTAAATACACACAGAAATTCAAAGTTCACGACAGCCCATGAAAATAAAAGTTTGGTTAACTTGAAGAAATTGTAAAGGAAATAATACCATATTTTAGGGAAGCACGATATTGGATTTTTGCCGATATGCCGATATTTTTCAACTCGTTTTGGCCGATACCGATATATTTCCTTTTGTTTTGAAACAACACCAAGTCTCTCCTGTGCAGAAATTATAAGCAAAATATTTTTAATTTTGGTTAGTTTTTAACAAGAACTTATTTGTTAGAATTAAATAAACAATAATGAAGGTTTTTGACAGTACATTGAAGCTTTGAAAATAACTATAAATAAACTATATATCAATCGCTGGATTTTTTTCCCAGAAAGATGCAGTTAACCCTAACATTTTATTTTAAGATTTAACATTTGTAGATGGTCTAAAGCAAAATTGTTGTAAAAATTCAGAAAATCTTTGAGCTTATGATTTGTTTAAAAAATAAAACATATTACACATTAATGAATAAATCGGTATATATAAAATTATTTCATTTACAAGTGTCATGTTTGTGATTTTTATTCATGTAAGCTATAGCTTTTGACCTTTAAATTAAAACATACTCGTGATTTAGTGACACCAATTGGGGGAGTCTGCCT